CTATGTAAATCCACGTAATCTTTCCCCTGGTAAAAATGGCAAGTGCTCAGATCAGTAGCACTTGCCTTTGGAACAGACCTAAGCACTGATGTCAGTGCTGCCGGGCGCTGATCTGCTACCTCAGTGTTAGGTCTGTTCCAAAGGCAAGTACCTCTGATGTAAGTGGCACTGACCTAAGTGTCTCAGACGCAAGCGGAGGGAAACTCCCAGAAACACTGTACAGGCAAAAATTTCGTTAATTACCGATCTGCCAGGTACGTTATGTCACTATTTGACGATCAGGGAGGGCTGCTGTGAGTTTTCAATCCCAAGCAAGTATCACAATCTTCAGGGGACATCGCTCGTTCCCATGCGGTCTCCAATCTAAGTACTAACTACGCCCGACGTAACTTAACTTCGGTGATCGTCCTAGCGATTGAACCACTACACTACCTGCGCGTGTACCTGTTAGGGGCGTAATTTTACCATTTCAGGGCCCCCATTGGGGTAATTTTGCCAGCAAATGATGATTTTGTCTTTGAATGTGAATCCGATACTTAATTTTTCTATTATTCTTTTTTAATCAATCAACATGTAAATGAAGTTTTGTAAGTTACGTTTCTTTGAAAAAAAATGGATCGCACTAAAATTCAAAATTAAAGCTAATGATGCAAAAAAAATAATGAAAGTTGAAATTATACAAAAAATATAAATTAGCAGATACAAAAATTGTAAGTAAAGGAGTAAAAAAGTTAAAAAAGAATTAAAAATAAAGTAGGAAAATTTTAAAAAAAATTGAGACTGAAACATTTTAAAAACAGTTAAAACTGAAAAAAATTAAAACCAAATTGAAAACTATTTTTTTTTATAAAAAAATAATAATGCTTAAATAAATATATCTAAATACATATTTTAGCGGTGATAATATTTTTATCGATCTCATTTTTTGTTGTTTTAATTATTTAAGTGCCATCTTAAACGAAGAGGGTAAAACAAATTATTCAAGAGTGTGGCTACTTAAACTAGTTTTCCTTCCCTCTTAGAAAATCCCACCTTCTACAAAATATGCCTCTCTGAAAGATAAAGTTTGTGGTCCCCGTGTCCCGAGGAAATATTCCCCCACGAAAATGAAATAGGGTGGGGGAAGGGGGAGCCATCTCTACTTTTTGGGAGTGAGTGCGGTTCGATTAAGATTGATGTCAGAGACTTACCCTCTGAACCAAGTCCTGACCTCAGTCCCGCTTACCTCAGAGACATCTCTGCACTTAGGTAAGTCTTTCTCCCGACGTCAGTGCCTCTTACCTCAGTGCTGACTTCTTGGGTAAGTGCTTTAACACTTACGTCAGAGAAAACTGAACTGACCTCAGAGCAAATTGCACTGACCTCAGTGGAAAATTCACTGACCTAACACTTGCCATTTTTACCAGGGTCCCTTTTTGAAAAATAGTTCCCAGCGCACAATATACCTGCTAAAAAAAAATAGTAGTTGAGATGGTCCTGAAAATTAAGTCCATGGAAGAATGAAACTTCAAACTTCATTTTCTCATAGTTCAAACTTAATGCGGCTTGGTATATTCCTGTTGAGATTATCCAAAAGGAGTAGCCTTTAGACAATGGTATGCAATAAAAAAAGCCCTATGCAACATATTTTTTCCTCAAAATCTTACGTAGGAAACGATTTAATCAACAAGAAGTCTGGAAATCAACTCCCTAACAAAATATAAGCCTTAACAATCAACACTGGTTAAGTGTGTGACAAACATACACATAACGTCAATTGTATTCAGTCTAGAAGCACAGAATTAATTATTTCTTTGATGGAACGAATGTTCAGCCCATTTATGAGCTATATTTATGGAGGTCATAAGTAATTGGGCGTATTTATCCAAAATTAACTCAACTGCAGTGCACGTTGCCTACCATCGTCTAGGATTTCATTTTTTTTTTTTTTTGACAGGAGCCCAAAAAACGGAACGCTTTAAAGCGTTCCATTAATTCCTTCCGTACGAGAACAAATTTATTCACAAAATTTCGAGTTGAAATATTGTTTGGTTGTCTGTTCGAAAAATTAAAGTGAAACTTATGCACTTGCGGAACGGCTGATGTAGGTAGTCGCTGATTTCAATCAATCCCTTTCAATTAGGGTCCAATCAGCAAACGGCCCCGACTCATTATGATCAAAGTTTAGGCGTTTCAAAATTTATTTTTGCAAAGAGAAACAAGTTAACTATATAGCTTGAAATTTCTGCTCAGAGAGAGGAAAAATCAAGGAAATTTTCAAGTGATGAAATTCACTAAAAATATATTATATGACCGGAAGTCTGCAAAATCACGAACGGAGATACCTACGTGGTTTCGCACTTTCGTCATCGATTTCACTTTATTTATGAGCGTCCATTCCTCGGAAACAGGGACCTCATTTGCCAAAAAACCAAAATTGAGATTCGGCCCGATCGCAAGTTGCATTTCTGATCGATGGCTGAAGTCGGAAAAAACGTAATCCGATTGCGACGTTGTAAACCGCTCAATTTTTTCTTTCTTTTTTTTACAGAAAACTAACCACCAGTTTTTCTTCATTATATATATGAATTTTCATCCTTTAATCAAACGTATTCTCAGAAAATTCCAGAATGAGATAGTTTGGTTGTTTTTTCATTAGAAAATAGAATGTTGGCGGCGGTTTTGAAACATTGCAATATAGTTACGTATTTTCCGACTTTAGTCGTAGATGTTTCACAAAGTTTAAACACAAAAACTGCCCGAAAATGTCGAACAAAAGCGAAGCTATGATGACAGGAAAATTTTACTTCAAGAACCGCAATTTTTAGAGAGGAAAAAGCGTTTATTGACTTGAACTTTTGAATAAACTCTGACTGAAGTTTTAGTCCATCATGTATAGGATTCAAAATTGTCAATTGAAATACAACCTTGTACCCTATGCACTCCTGCAGATACGAGAATAAATAAAACCATAGTTTTTTTGTTCACCATGATCCAGCTAAAGGCACCAGTGAACGGGAAAATTGGTTCAACCAATCACACAAGAACCACAAACAATTGCGGTGATGTGGTAAAACTAGGGGGCTACGCCCCCTGGCCGCTACGCGGCCCAACCCCCCGAAGGCGCTCCGCGCCATCAATGGGCCGCTTCGCGGCCCTATTTTTACCCTCCTATTAGTATTAGTTTTATTTTTCCCCTAAAAAGATTCGATATGAGGTATACTTAATAGAATGAAATAATTTTTGGTTTTGATGAATAAAGAAAAAAAAAATTTTTGAAGTCAAAAGGACGCGTTTTGGAATGACTGCTTGATGAAATATTACAGTAAAACAACGAACAGTTTAAATCAGGTAATTATTAAGTATCTCTGGAGTCGGGGATCGAACCCACACCGAGTTCAAAATGGACGCATCCGACGTCTTAGACGACTCGACCACCGCTCGACGTGAGGACACTGGCGCGAATCTTGTGTACATAAGTGTAGAGCTAATGCGCAGGCTACACAGCTACTGCGCAACCTCCTCGACCACTGCGCATCCTCCCCCGCGCATAGCGGTAGCAGTACCGGAGCATTCTGTAAACTCACTCACTTTTATAACGTGATTTTAAAAAAAACCTGGGTCCTTTTTCCAAAATCTGATAACAGCGGGCTCATCTAGGGCCTATTACCTGTCGATTTACGCAAAAATCATGGAAATCGGCTCGGTAGAACGCTCAAACGAACTATGACAAAAAGTATAAATTTACATTGTTTAAATGGGAGAATTCGCAACTTTACCACGTAATATAAAAAAACCTGGGCCATATTTTGAAAATCTGAAAAGAATTGGCTTATTTAGAGACAATTGCCCGTCGATAGCCGCAAAAATCATGAAAATCGGCCCGGTAGAACGCTGGAACTAAGCGTTACCAGTTTCGCAAAATTAGGAGGTCTTGGAGCTTATAGTATAGATAGCTGCATCGGAGTGGTGTAGTGTATGTTGCCTATCTCCTGATAGAAGGGAGCACTTCTCATTGAAATATCGACGGGCTAAGTCCGCGACTACGTATACGTTTAAGAATATTGCTGTGGAGCAGTTTTACATTCAAAATATAAAGTATGACAGGAAGTCTGCAACGTCGTTAACCGAGACACGTGGTTGTGGACTTGCATAATCGATATACTGCAATGTAACTGAGATAATTGGCAATTTTCCATTGCATCGCCGATATTTCTAACATGCGGAACTCATTTTGTTGATTGTTTAAAATCGAAATTACTTGACAAAATCGGGTCATAATATTGCAATTTCATGTATATAAAAAAAACAAATCACTATTTTACCAAAATAAAACGCAATTTTATTCCAATATTTTCGTTGTCTTGTGCTACTAGGGGAGCGAGTGGCACAGATCTTGTACATTAAAAGTATTAAAATGGCAATATTCTCCCAATGTATGTAGTTTCTCTATTGGAATATCCGAATAGAGTACCCTTAACTCGTCAGCTCAGGAAATCTCAGTGTATTGAGGAGCCCGATCCGAGTGTTTATCTAATGTTCGAATTCCATACGGTGCTCTCATTTCATTCTTTTGATACTTTTCTCTTTTTCTATGTATTCCCGTCTCCAATATTTTCCAAGGAGAGGCCTTCTACAAATTTTACGAGCTCAAAACTGCTTATTATAAGTCAATTGTTCCTCGTATCTAAGGAGGAAAGTACATTCGGTTATCGTTGAAAAGCGAGTGAACTTGGGCTACTTTTAACGGAAAAAACTATCACCGGTATTCGCACCAGGGCTTGGTATGCTTTATGATGTACCTATAAATGGATCTGCCATATAAACCCATAGTAAGGAATCGATTCTCAGAGTGTTCACAACGAGCCCCTTAATAATCGATTCTTTACCATAAGTTCAAATGAGAAACTGTTGACAGCCAATGATTGGCACGCTTTGTGCAGACGATAAGAATAGCTTCCGAATTTTTACCTTGAGAAGTTTTCGCCTACCGCTCTTCACAAAGAAACACAATGCCTGAACTTGACATTACTCGTGTGGTATTTTGAAAACTGTCGACACTTTTAAACTGCATCGAATCATCAACATCCAGGATTGCTTTTAGCAGAGCTTTTTTGGGGAGCCTTAAAAACAGTGTTATCGGTGACGCATACTACGCCTGAACCCACGCAGGTACTAATGTTTTTCTTCATCACTCTGAGATAAATTTGTTGTGTTGATTTGTACTTGTTCCTTTTTGGTTGTTTAATGTGATAAATTTTCATTTATTTCCCAATGAGAGATCTAATTTTCCCCAGAGAAACCGTTCATACAGTAAAAAATAGCTGCGATAAAAAGACCTATCTGTACCTAATACTAAGGATGAAATGCCGCATATGAACTCACGTTACAGACTTTCCCCTCTTAAAATATAATTTTGGAGAAGATTTATGAATATTTCTACTTGAAATTTTCACATACTTCAGATTGTAGTGCGGTGAAATTATCTAAAAAAAGTGAACGGCAAATATTCACAGGTTTTTCTGAATATCCGTATTTATTTAACGGAAAGACGGCGTACACAGGTTTATACGGCCCTCTTTTTTTAGCATGGCTGTAGAAAGCTTGCAACGCTGGTAAAGTTCTTTGTACATCACTGATCCATCCAAAAGCTCTTTCATGTATTTTCAATACATTTTTCCTCGTGAGAATATATTGGCTCCAAAACGTGCCTAAAACGTATTTTGGGCATGCAGAAAATAACGCATGTTTTTGAACGATTAGAATCATATTAGAGTCAGACTAACAACATTTTATGAGAGATCGTTTGCGTGTTCAATAGTAGATTTTTTTTTTTTTTTCAATCTCTCTTGTGGCAACCAGCAGCGTGATTTTATAACTCGTGTTAACAGTTTTTTTTCTTCTTCTTTTTTTTTCTTTTTCTTTTCTTTCTTTTTTTTTTTTTTTTTTAAATCGGTCAACCATCAGAATCTCCTACTAAAAGGCATGAGTGAGGGTACCTGACAACAGCAAAGTAATGATGCGAGGTTTAAGGGTTGCAGAAACTGCTGATTATCGGGAATTCTGAAAAGACAGGCCTGTTGGTGCGGAAATTTTGGAAACACGTAATATGCAACTTGAGGGTTTTAAACTGAATTTTAAGCACTACCGCACCGTTACGCGCAGAGTAATTTTTCTCCCATTCCATTGTCAATGTTTTCACTTAGTTTGCTATGTCTGGGATGTGCAAAGGCGGACTTCTGTTCAACGTTTGAAGTCGAGCCGGCTTCTCTGCGAAAACCGAATGATGGCACCGGGACTCTCATTATTCAGAGTGATATTAGAAATTAAAAACGCCTTCTAATTGCTGAGTTATACTGTACCGCAAAACATGCGAGTTCAGGCGGTCACTTTTTTAGCTATCCCGTGTCCAGAGTGAAAATTAAAAAAAAAAAAAAACCCTTAACAGCGAGGGAAAACTGGCTAAGCACAATTTAATAAACTACGAATTTTGCAAGATGGAAAAAAACTGTTTTCAATTTATCCAAATGTCGTAAAACTACAAGCATAACACTATGTGAGAGGCTCATCACGTCGCTCCTCTGACGTGAGCAGGGCGTATCTTGATTTCCGCATGAGCCGCAGAGAGCGTGGATTTCTAAGTCAAACAGGGCCTACGTGGATATTGAAATACGTCCTTACGTCAAAAGGGCGATGATAAAGAATCAAACTATCGTTCAGTGCCTATGTTTTCAGGAGTTTGTCTCCATGCCTTCGAATTTATAATATTTTAGGTGGTGCTCCAGAGGATTTAATTTTCTGCGATTTCCGATACTTGATTCTGAATCAATCCAATAGAGAAAGCGATGATAAAAAGAAGATGACGTCTGTCAGAGGTACAAAGAGAGAATATTTGGTTGCGCAATCAAGACGTCCGAAATTGTATCGGTCAATTTGGAGCTCTTAAAATTCGTAAGTATTCCGTTTTTTATCGTAGAGGTGGTCAAGAAAGTCATTTTCCATGTTTATTTTCTCATCAACTATCGAAACCAAAAAAAAAACAAAAAAAAACCTGAACATATCGCTTTACAAAATCACTTTCTCGGCATAAATAATCATAATCTAACCATGAAAGTTCAGTTATGTTTCCGGACGTGATGTATTTTTAAGTGAGTAAACTGCTCACTTTGTTTCTCTACATCTACTCATTCTTCCAAAACGACGGCTTTAACCTTAGTAAAGTAATTTCGCCAACTTTTTATAAAGCCGTATGTTCTTCAAAATTGAGCCTTTTAAATGCTAATCATGTAAATTTTCTCTCAATCTGTCGAACTAAAAACATTTACTTACATACTTACATTATTTGAAAACATGCTGTGAGCTTTCGGTTCAATTGCTACTTACTGCTTTAGATTACCTAGGTTACGAAACAAAAGTATGATCTCCTCATGGGTATGATATTGCTTCGTTGATAGTATCGATACAATAAACCCTGAACAAATTGGGGGAAAAAAAAATGTCATGCAACCCATCAAAAACGGGCGGAAAATTGTTTGCAGCATCCACGAAAAATATACGAAATTTTTAAGAGGTTTTTTGTAAGATTAACTCGAGCAATATATCATAAGAGAGCTGAGATAAAAAGTTTAAAGGCGGTCCCATTGATTTAAGCAAAAAATTTCTCTCAAAAATCGTCTCCTTATATCATACTCTGATGATGAAAGGAGGTTTCAGGAGGCCTACATAACAGAAGTGCATATATAACACTGCAAAAGTACAATTTTCGCAAACCTCAAGTAAAATTTAGCAAAATAAGTTTGAAAATCCTTTTGCGAAGGGTTAATAATTGTAATAATTTGCCGTAATGATTTGCCACTGCAAAATTAGGGAATCTATGATTTTGAAAAGCATTGACAACCTACGTTACTGACATGTGTTTAAAATTTGCAAAGCCAACAGTATTTTAACTAGCATGTCAGTAGTTAGTTATAACATGTTAACTAACATGTCGCTCTTATAGCGCTTTTGTGCTATCTGCGACACCCACCCACCGTTGATAGCGATCTTGCCAGAGCTCTTCCGGCAATTGCATCTCCTCATTTCCTGCCTTATCCATCAATCCGCGATTTAGCAGGGCGTCCTCTACGTTTTCTGCCAGAGGAGGGTGGGGACCCCATCCAGAAAGGGTGGGGACCCCATCCAGAACTTTCTTAGGCAACCTGTCATCTGGCATACTTTGCACATATGTCCATCTACCAGACGAGCTGTTTCGTGAAAATGTCGTGCACTATGTTGTTTTCGACACCCATAGTAGAGTGGAAATGGCGACTTGCGGCCACCTGAGATATCGAAATGTAACCTAACCTAGGTTCAGTGTTGCCGTGTGACCTAACCCAAGTACAGCGTTGCCGTGTGACCTAACCCAAGTACAGCGTTGCCGTGTGACCTAACCTAACCTAACCTAACCTAACCTAACCGAAGTGGGTGGTTGTCGAACGACCCAATTTCAGTTGCGGGTTGCGTGTCTCGCCAACTTAAGGTGCAGATATGCGGGTTGCATACCTTACGGACGGGAGGCGTCCTATGTTGGTCGCGCACCTCGCCGACGATCAGCGATAATTTGTGATGTGCATTCCTCACGAACCCATGAAATGCTGGTTGCATACCTTACGGACGGGAGGCGTCCTATGTTGGTCGCGCACCTCGCCGGTGGTCAGGGATAATTTGTGAATTGCATTCCTTACGAATCTCCTGAAATGCGGGTTGCATACCTTACGGGAGTAAGGCGTTAACATGCGGGTTGCATACCTTACGGAAGTAAGGCGCTAATACGGGGGTTGCATACCTTACGAGAGGACGGCGTTTACCTAGCCTAACCTCTACACCCCCTCAAATGGATGACGTCATCCCACCCGCACTTTGATGTTCCCGCGCCGATTCAGGTGATCCTCTGTCAACTCCTCCTCCGGCCGCCGTTCAGGGTGCGACCAAGTTTAAACCGGCGTGGCCCGCTTCGCGATTTATCGATTGATCTGTCATTTAAACCTATGAAAAAAGATCGATTATCAGAATGCTCGCAGCGAACACCTTAATAATCGATTCTTTACCATAGCTTCAAATGGCGAGATATCGACAATCGATCATTCACGCCACGCCACCGGTTTAAACCTGCATCAAAGGCGCAGATCCGCGCTGGGATCGAACGCTGTCCGAACAAGTCTGAGCCTGTCGGGACAAGTCTGAACCTGTTCGGGTCTCTTTTCCCTCGTGCGACCGGGAACAAGTTCCGAACCTGCCCCCCCGACGTTGCCACCTCGTGACTCCTTCATCTCTGCGACGTTGCCGCTCCGTTCAGCCCCCCGGGTGTAATTTCACGGTTTTCCTAAATAAATAAAAATAAAGAAAATAAGAAATGAATAAAAAATAAATACAAATAAAAAATAGATAAATAAAATGAAAAAAAGAAAACTGAATAATACTTTTGTGTCTTAATGGACGAGACGCCGTTAAAATTCATGAATAAAATTTCAAAAACTTAAAGATAGACTCGCCCCGTCTTAAGAATCGAACCCGGACCGTTCTGATAAGAACTGGATTAGAAATCCGGGCCTCTACCGACCGAGCATGTCTATCTTCGGAAACGTAACGGTGAAAATTATCCTACAAATAATTCCCTACCCACCGGTGTTGGAGCTTTAGACACCACCCTTAACCTTAAATCGACCCAGTTGAACAGATAAATAAACGTAAAAACAAAGTGTTCCGTTTGAAATTTTTATTTCTAAAACAAAAAAGATTACATGGATTTAGCTAAAACTAAATGATAAACATTTTAAATTCGTGAAAATTATAAACTTACATTCGTTAACGTATTAAAGTCGTGAAAATTATAAACTTACATTCATTAACGTATATTAAAGTCTCGAAAAGTATAAATTTACATTCATTAACGTATTAAAATGATACAATTGAAGATGTTATAGGTTACACGAATCCAAGTAATAGTCTTTACATCAGATCTGGGAGGGATGAGAGTGTCAGAGAGAGCGGTGGAGTGGAACAACATCGTCCTAGAGGAGGCTCGCGGTACAATTGTTCAGCAGCCGGTCAAATTTTACATGAATCACCACAGGAACGGAGCAGAAGCAAGGGTTCCATTTCTTCTCACTGACTGGTTTGCATCACTGCTTGTCGTACGTTTTAATATCCGGCACTGTATCCATCACTACTGAATATTCATCTAGAGCCGATGGAGCGGTTTCAGGAACCTCCAGAATTTTCAATTCATCCCTGGATCTCAAGTCGGTCAATAGAGTTTCACGCGACTTCTCGATGCTAGCCTCGACCCGTTTCTCTAGCTCGTAGAGGCGTTTGTTCAGCCAAGACAGGTTGACGGCGTCGGACTCTTCCTCGGGATCCGCGACCATCTTGATGCGTTTCTTGAGCGCCGTGTAGTTTTTGTCCGAGTCCAATCGTATTCCCTCGATGACGGGAAGGCTTTTTCCGGTACCGAGGGCTGACTGCGGTAACGGTCTGCCGAATTTATCCACGGACCCCATGTTGACCTAGCGGATGTAGCCTGCTTCACGTAGCTCCTCCTCGATACTTAGAATCTCTCGCTCCACACCGGTGTTCCCGGCGTTTCTAGAAGCGACCAACAATAGGAGGCGTTCGACCAACTCGTTCGGGTCGTCCCAGTAGACGTAAGTGCGTTTAGACTCCAACGGGACGAAGATTCCGGAGCCGGTTTGTAAATTTGTAGTTTTGGGATAAAGTTTTTTGATGATATCTTTGTACTTTTTCGCTCTCGTCCCTCGTACCGGGTTGCTCGCGACGTAAGATCTTCTGTGAGCGTTTGTCAGATCGAGAACTTTTTTATACTGTTCCAAGTCGTCGGTGCTGTACTCTTGCGGTGAACGTTTGAAAATGAGGTCGAAAAGACCCTTGGACGGAGCGAACGTTTGGTCGCCGATCAACATATTATCATCCTTATCGAACCGGATCGATTTGTCACCCAGCATCCATTCACCGTTTTGACCCACTCTGACTCCGTTGACGTGATCGAAACTGTCAACGTTCGAAATCATGTCACGAAAATACGACGAGGATATAGGCCCGAAATTAGATCCAACGTACGAGTCCAGAAGCTTGGTATCATCGAGACCCTTGTTATCTTCCGGATCGTCCTCACGAGCATCTTCCCAATCTGATCCTTCCTCCATGTCACTGGCTGAATCAGTATCGGTCGTATCTTCTTCCTCCGCCTTTTGGTCGCTTGTTTCTTCTTTCGAATGGCCTGGCAGGTCTTCTATTTCGGGGTCTTCTATTTTTCCTTTCTTCACCGGTGGTTCCATTTCCTCTTCTTTCTTGATCGGTAGTAACGATGTTTGCATCGGTGAGTCTTTCATTCGCAGGATAGCTTTGAGTGGGTCAGCGATCGGTTTGAACGTTTTCTCTAACGCGTTCGATGTCTCCTCCTCGCCGCGACGCAAGGCGTTGTATTTGCGCTTGATGATCTCGCGCGAGCGTATAATATCGTCCATATGCTCCATGATGATAACTGGCACTGACCGTTCGAGGATGGATCACCTCCTTATATAGGTGTCGAAACCTCTCCTATACCGTCCGTTATCTATATCGCTGTCTTTGGATATCACCAGAAAACCGTACTTGTCTTTTCGCCAACAGAGGGCGCACATCTTCTTGAACTCATCGAAGGTCATATCTGTGTTTACGTGGTCATCGTAGACATGTTTCAAGTTCATTTCGTCTTGTCGAAAGAGAACGATTACATTGGCATTGTCCCGAATCAGCTGTTTTGGGATACGGCTGTACGTTTGACACAGGTAAAAACTATCGACCGAGCTATGACGACCCATACTGAAATATTCTCGCATGGTGTTCTGCTTATCACAGGCCACATCGTCGAAAATAAAGATGGAGTCTGTAGCCGCGTCTCTGGGTTTCATGAT